AAAAAAAAAAAGAAGAAAAGAAAATACAGGAAGAACTTTCATCATATTAAAGTAGGAGCATCTAGTATTAAATAGGAGATAAAAACCTAAAATTCAACAATAAGCATTATTTTGAGGACAAAAACATGATTAAATGAAGTTAAGGGGTTAAACACATGATCATCTTTTCTAAAACAGAAAAAAGCAGACAGAACATACTCGCCTTGTGTGTTCACAGTTCAATTGCTATTGTGGTGAATTTGGCCTGAAAGTCTTCCATGAGGGAAGCTGGATATAAAATGGGCAAAACTCCCCAGATGGGTTCAAAGGTCACCTTATTACAAAAACCCTTCTAATCGTGAGGGAACATGTAGAAAAAGAAAATCTCTAGACACCGACTTTTCTCCTTTCCCACCAAAGAGTATGAAATCGTCTGTTAAAACCAAACTTTGCTCCATTTTACTTCACACACCACCACCCCCTCCTTACATTACCTAAAACAACAGCCTTTTGTGAGGGTAATCTGGGAGGGGGTGGTCTGGGTGGAACTTGTGATGGTTTTGCTGGACTCTCTGAGGTGGGACACCTCTTGATTGTTCCTTGATTATCATCCTCAGCAGAATGAGTTTCCTGTGGCATAAAGATGGACTTAGGCTGAAAAACAAAACAAAAGGACTGGTGACCAAATATGACACTGTTTTATGAAGTTAACATTATTGCCTGGGAGTAAGTTGCTACAAAAACCACAGAAACAAACCATTGGTCAACACGGTCATCGACAGGTTTCTCATGTCCTCCAGCTAGGGTTTTCACACGTCTGAAGACCTCTCCATCTCTCGTCCTATTCCCTGAAGAATTCTGGGGTCTTTGATTTACTAGTGTTGTTCGGCATTCGGCAGGGACTCAAATCATGTTCCTTTTCAAGGTTTTGAATTTGGGGAACAAAAACAAGTACAAAGAGGGCAAGCTAAGGGCAGCAAGAAGCTGGGGCCGGTTTCCTCGCACAATCCTTACAGGACACATAGCCCTCGCTACCCTTGAAGAAGGAGCAGGTACGTTCAGCGAGAGTAAAACACACACCAAAGAAATCTTCAGCATAACTTTCCTGGCCTTTGTCAATTGTCAACATTCTTCACACGCCCTATGATCATCCTGCATCCCTTAAGTAAAATCTATCAAAATTACCCCTTGGGGTCCTCCAATGTAGTTACCCTAACTTCCAAGTTGACCTCTCGCCCTTGAATTAACTGGTTGAGCAGATCCCCTTGGAAGTCATTGGTTCCCCCGCCCTGTTCTTTAGAAGACACCCCCAGTGAGGCTAAGACAAGTGTCTTCCTGAAGGTACTTGTCTGCGGCCATCCACCGAGCAGATGGCATGTTGAACCCTGCGGTGTGTGGAATAAACCAGGCATGTACCAACTGAACCCGACTAGCAAACGTGTTTTACTGATCCTCCGGATAGCAAAGGCTTTGGCTTTCAAATTGTGTTCATCAGACAAGGTTATGCAAACATCTCATTCAGATTTATCTAAATGTATCCATTATTGAAAATTTAGCCTAAACATGTATCATCAAATGATGTGCTTCTCAGATTTTGATTTGTCTTGCCCCTGTTCCTACCTCCACCCTTATTATTTCTCAAAAAAGCCTCTCTTTCTGTTAAGATTTTACAACACTTTGCACTTGGACTTAGCAAGAAAAGAAAAGAAATCCTGGTCCTGCTGATCTCCAGCTTAAATGGGTTTTTATTGTAAACACTGAGGCGACACAAAGTTCAACCCCTTATTAGGGCGAAACGGTCTTTTAGATTAGTCAATGTCTTTTATGTTGGTGGTTAATCTTTCAGATTGGGAAGAGTATCAAATAAAATCTTATCTTGCTGGCGAACACCAACACAGCAGTGCACGGGGACCCTAGTAACTCTCTGTGCACATGATAGCGATCTCCAGCCAGCGGAAAGCCTGCGGAACTCAGCAACTCTTATAAACATAACTCTTTCTTAGGAAGCTTGTCTCTGACATCCAGATCCTTATGTTTCTGCTAAGCCTGTATAAAGAAGTATAGTGTTGTTTACCTGTGTGAATCCAGAACTTCTAATAGCAAAAGGTGAACACGGCATATGGAAAAACTTTGGGGAACCGATGACAAGGATCTACATGTGACCTCGTCCCTCGGGATGGACAACAGAAAAGTGGGGGAAGGGAGATGTCGGACAGGGCAAGATACAACAAAACAATAATAATTTATAAATTATCAAGGGTTCATAAGGGAGGGGGACAGGGCAAGATATGACAAAACAACATTAATTTATAAATTATCAAGGGTTCATGAGGGAGGGGGGAGTGGGAAGGGAGGGGAAAAATGAGGAGCTGATGCCAGGGGCTTAAGTGGAGAGCAAATGTTTTGAGAATGTGAGGGCAATGAATGTACAAATGTGCTTTACACAATTGATGTATGTATGGATTGTGATAAGAGCTGTATGAGCCCCTAATAAGATGATTTAAAAAAAGAAAAACTTTGGACACTAAGACTGGTAAGATTCTAACTTTCATTTATAACCCGACTTCAAGCCTTAAAATAGCATTCCCTATTCACTTTTAAAATAAATTTCTTATACAATAAATTCATACCACAATTTTCCCTTTACAACAAACCTATTGGTGGGAATTAACTTTATAAAATGACTTCACTGGTTTATGAGATATATACATGATAAGTATTTTACTGTTTACAGAAATGACCAGGTATTCTCATATTTTGTATTTTCACTTTAGAAGTATCATCTGAAATTTAAACTTCTGTGATGACAAATTCATTTCAGGAAGTTAATTATGAATGAGCAGATTTCAGGGGGAAAAAAGAATCCTAAAAAAAGGTAGCTTTTCTCATCCGAGTAAAGGAATATTAATAAAATATTGTAATAATTTTCAATGTACAAAGCTATAGAACATTTTAGAATAAAACATTAAGTGAAAAATTAGTTAATTAAAGCGAAAATAACTACAATCCTCTATCTGTGGTTAATAACATCACGATCTCCTTTGTGGATCCCAAATGAAAATCAGTTATGATGTTACAGCAACTAAAGGGAAAGGGCATTACCTACCCCCCACCACCACGCCCACCCAAAATTTAAGCTGAAAAATAAATTTGTTTACCTTTGGTGGCAAAGGAGGTGGAATTTTTGCTTTCATAGTTGAACTAAAAACACAAAAGTTTAGAATCAGAACTATATTAAAATTGAATATTAAAATATAATTATTTCAAAGATAATGTTAGAACACTTGTATCCACGAGTACTTTTATTCTTAAGACGGAAGTTTTCAGTATCTTTCCAGTGAGAGGGACTATTGTGAAGAGTGTTGGGTGAACACACTGTCTTGGTTTCATGTACTACACTGAAATGAAACTGGACTCTGTAATGACACACTTTCAGTTCATAACAACTGAAAGGTCATTACGGTGATGTAAGGACTTAACGACTTGCTTATGACAAAGTTGACAAAATGACATAGCATAAAATAGTGTAAAATATGTAAGACTCATTTTCATTATTAATATATCTTTGATGCGGCCCATCGAGGCTATCTATGTATTCTATCAAATTATATGTAGCATTTGTTAGGCTAGAGCTAAGACTCGATATAAATTAAAATCAGAGTTTTAAGAATAGAAAGAAAGGATGTAAAGGTTAAGCACCAGGGTCCCAGATGAGAAAACCACAGGCCAAGGAGGAGACGTGAGACCCAAGAGGCGGGGGGGACAAACCCGTGTCCACGACCACCAGCCAGGTCCCTTGGCACTCTACCAGGAAGTCACGGCTTTCTTTAAGAAAAAAACAAACTGTTGGGAGCCTTTTAAAAAAATTTTTTTATTTATTCTTGGGGGGGGGCATCTTTGAAACACAAGCTTTTATATCCCACCGTGTGTATCTGACACACTTAGGTGAAATGGCATCAATCATGTAATACGCCTCTTTGTGGTCACTCGGTAATAATTACAGCAACTACCAATGACTAACTTACAGCATTAAGATAGACGGGAAATGTACCGCCTTTGCTGATTCACGTAGTTCAGAACTAGGTTTGCTTCCCACAAAGTGCTTTCTCATCAACCAGAACAGAGAAAAGAAAGAGACGGTGGGACAACCCTTAACACTGTATCACCTACACGGAGATCACCATCAACGGCCAGCTCTCAGACAGGTAACATCACGTAACACGGCGCTTTTCCTTCACCAGACCAGACACAAAATCAACCTCCAGAACTTACTGTTTAGAGTCATCATCGTCCCCTTCGTCATCTTCTAAATGTGCCACGTGTCCTCTAAAAACGGGGTGGAGTGGGGAATGAGTCCATTACTAAGTGGGCTTGACCAAAACCTCTTACATTTTAAAATAAATGCAGAAAAGGTTACTGCAAGACATAATCTTTCTCCACCTTTCTAGATTAGTTTCAGAATTCACAGAACTCAAGAAAACACTGTAAGCCACATGACAGATGGGGCATGTTGACTTTATTACTCTGTGATATGACGTACAAAGCATTGTAAGTGTAATTAAATATTAATTTACCGCTGATGTAGCTCCTCCTCAACAGACTTCAGGAGACTCCTGTAAAGAAGAAAACACAGAGAAATACATGTAAAACACAGAAGGAAAGGAATATGAAGCATCTATTTTCATCACTCCAACTTAGTACGTAACATTTTTTAAACATTATTTTATGAATTACTGAAAATTTGCTGCAAAGACCTCTGAACCTTAAAAACACCATGTTTAAGAAGATATCTGCATTTTCTACAGCTAATATGTATTTAAAATGCACAATATAAATCCTGACACTCACTTGAAAAGACTGATACAAACAGAAGCCAACCCACCACGAAATGTCACAAGAAGACTGACAAACAAGAATTGCAGGGTCACCGTCAAGGTCTTCCAGGAGCCAAGTCTCACCTGGGACATTTTACCTGACACCAGAAATGATATTTTCTTTTTCATAAAATAAGGAAGGTGACAGACTCTTAAAAAAACAAAAAACCATGCTCTCAGGCAATCCTACAAAATGAAGCTCAACATGTTGGCTCTCTGCAAAAGCACGCATGCATGTGATGTGAACACGGGAATGTAGTAGCGCTGTTTTCACGGAGGATGCGCACTCACCTCAGGCATTGGTTCTCCAGGGGTGTACTGGCAAACACATTTACACTTTTGGGACACTACGCCTGTATCAGACCAGGTGTGAGGATTTCACTATTAGCAACACTGTATACAAACTTGGTTTTTTTCAGGAATGCAAGAGACAACTCTTGGCACTCCTAAATTCCCTTTTCCCTGCAACCTCCCGTAGGAGCCCTGGCTTCTCTATTATATACTCTTCACGCACAAAAATTCAAACAGCCTTCTCACCACAAATGAGACAGAAATCAAGTTATAAATAATGCGGAGAAAAGTGATGCAGCACAAAGCTTATTCTCCCCAAAAGTTTTAAGGCAGTGCCTTTCAAATCATTTTTCCTAATATCTTTTTTGGAAAAATGACCCATAGGATTACGTTACGCGGAACATACCAAGCTTCCAAGAAATGCTGTAAGAAGCTACCATAAAAGTGGAGAGAAAATGTTTTGGGAATGATGAGGGCAATGAATGTACAAATGTGCTTTACACAATTGATGTATGTATGGATTGTGATAAGAGTTGTATGAGCCCCTAATAAAATGATTAAAAGAAAAAGGGGGGAAAAAAAGAGGTGCCATTTGAAATTGTCCATCCAGAAAATAATACACTACCAATGGTAATATATAATAGGTACACGATTGTTATTTAAAAAAATAATACGAGAGATCAGTTTTCCCTCAAGCACCTGAGAATGTTTTTTGAGCCATATCTTTCTCCCGCGAAGAATGTTAGGATTTGAAAATAGGGAGGAAGTTTTCAATTTACTTTTCATTTCTATACTTAATCATATTCCTATGACACTCTTTTTAAAAAAAGGATCAGTCTGGAAATACCGGGCTCTCTAGGAATAAAAGAGAATGGGTAGAAAGCACTAGCTTACAGTCTAGAGACTCATACATCTTTTTTATTCTTGAGGCTCTCCTACTGCTTACGAAGACAGACTATCTTATGCATCCTAACAAAGCCGTTAACACAGTTGCAGATATATGTGGCTTGCTCTTTGCATGTCATGTATCTATAACAGAATGGCTATATTCCTAAAGCATCTGTAGTAAATATTAATGAGAGTACTGGAGAAAAAGTAATATTGCTTTGTTCACCAAGAATGTGCCCTCCACAATAAACGTTGTCACTATTCACTAGTCTACTTGGGATTTTTCTTCATGGAATTTTTGAGAAAAAAAAATCAAAGTAAAAATGATGCCTTCAGCTTTTGAATTAGTAAACCAATCTAAAAGGATTAGAAAGTTGGTGAAACGACTAAAAATAGAGGAACGTCCAGACACAGGCTTATGTAACCGATGGAGTAAAGAAACCGATACATAGAAAAGTCTAAGACTATCATGGAAGCACTCTAAGCACTTCTCCTACTAAAGTACTGACGGGATTCTTCATACTGCAGGTTACTAAAAACCTTTTAAAATTCTTTAATTGCTCAAGAAACTTTCTACGTGCTACCCTGAAATACATTTAAACCCCAAATAAGCCCCCCAATCCCCTATTCCTCAAAACCTTGAGCATATTTATTCATTCATGCTCCTTGCTCACATACGAGAATACGTCAAAGAGTTGCTACAAAACCATAGAACCTGTAAAAAAAATCAAAACGCAAAGCTATTGTTTCTCAACAAATCCTTCTAGGGCTACACACTTTAACGATTCCCCAAAGGATCCTGCACTCCCCATTTACCCCGTAGGCCACATCAAGTACTCCTGGCATCCACAAGGGACTCAAATTGTGTTCCCTTTCAATGCTCTGTGAGATCGGGAAACAAAAAGCTTCGAGGGGACAAGATCAGGGCTGTGGGGTGAAGTTTCCCTCCAATATTCCTGCACCATCGGGTTGGCAAAACTTTCTTGCCGAGGCAGCTGTCTATTAAAACGTTTTCATAACAAGGCCCTGTGATCATCCTGTATCTTTAGAGAAAATTGATCAGGATGACTGCTTTGCAATTCAAAATCCAGTCATCATCGCTTTTGGCGCTGACTGCTCTGCCTTGAACTCATCTTTGAGGTCTTCTCGGACACCCTTAACGTGCATCATCCACCTAAAACACCGTTCATCAGTGTTCCTGTAAACTTGTTGCAGCGCTTCCATGATTGGGGTAGATGGTCACTTGAATTTTGTTAAAAATTCTGTATTAGCCCAGACTTTAGAAATAGTTCTTTTCAACGGCACCCACACACACGCTTTTGAAGGCACCTACGTGAGACCAGGACAAGCTGATGACTGAGAGATGTTGTCTGCAGGTCGTAACAAGTTCTGCTTGGAATAAACCTAGGTGGTTCTGAAGAGGTCCTGCAGCAATGCTTTCTGACTTCCTCTTGTAGGACTAACTTATCAGTTGCCCTTATCCAACGGACTCCCCAAGACTCAGGGCAACGAGCAAGCGAGCGCTGTCGCCGTGCTTCCTGTTCGGTGCCATATGGGCTCCAAGTGACGTGATGTGGAAAAGACAAAGCACTGCTGCCCCTGCGTCATCCCCCCAATCACTGCTGTGTGCAAGGCCATGGGCAATGTTAAGTCTTAAGTGGACTAAAAGCTTTAGAGCAATTATTGTATGTCACACTTCGAACACGACGTAGGTACCATTGTAATTCCCATTTTACATGAGGAAACTAAGGGAACTTCTCAGTCACGAAACTTACAGGAAGAGCCAGTTCTGACTCTCAACCTGGCCTTCACTACTGCTACTTCCTATGTTTGCACCAGACAGAGGGATGTGTAACTAAACGCACTCTCCTCACTATAATTTAAGTCATCAGAGGAATACATGAAATAATGTAGGGTTTTCTCTTAAAAAATACTTTGTTAGGCTTTACATAATTGGCCAGAAAAGTTGATCCCCTGTCAGTTGATCCCCGTATCAGAATTCAAAAGAAGGTAACTCAGTATGCCTTCTATTATGAGTAAAAAAACTTAAATCCTATCTCGCAATTCTAATTAGACAGTTCTGGTAGGGTCTGTGATAGGTAGAAACCCACAAATGAAAATCTGTCTGCCTGGTCACCTGTGGAGAAAGCAGGAAATCCTATGACAGTATAAAGACACTAACTGCCTGGTCACGAAAATAAAGCAGACATATCAATACAGTAAGAGAAGTGCTACATCCATGCTCATGTCACATGTATGTGTACACCTGCACACAAAACACACCAAATGTCAAAATTTGGCCAACCTACCTTGCCAGTGATTCATTATATAGAATACAGTTCCTTAAGCAGGGATCCAATTAATCAAAAAATGAAGGTTGGGCAAATTATTAACATTTTACCTAGCCAAAGTAAACATAAACTATGCAAATGCATAACAAACCAAAGTCCAACAATGGGAACTAAAGAACCTGGGAAAGTTCAGTGATGTGCTTTGTATTTTCCTGGGCTTTTTGGCAAGTATATATGATTTTAAAAATTTTGTTTAAAATAAACCAAGAAAAGTAAATGAACTAGTTTTACCAATGTATCCAGACTCCTTTTTAAAGGACATCAAACTTTGCTTAAGTGGCCTTAAAACGAGTGGGCTCCTATTTGGATACAGTAACTCGAGAAGAGCCTCGGAGTGACCTTTCTTTGACAACCCATCAAGACACAAACTTTCGTGACTAGTGTCAAAGTAGGACAAGCTATCAACTGCAGATTATTTAGATAAAATGTCATAATCTTGTGAAAATTGTATACTTCTTTTGTTTTGGAAATTATAATTAAACAAAGTTCAGCTTAAATAAAAATGAATATATTTTTCTAGGTTTTCATTCAAAGTCTTTACTCTGTATTGGAAACATACACTAGAGTTAAATAAAAACCAACCATTTATTTTATAAAATACACACAACTCTAACGCAAGGGAAATTTTATGTTGTTCTAATTGTTAAAATAATTTCTGCATTTCTGGGAGGTATAGTCAATTTAAATGTGTTTATTAATAAACTAGTGTTTATGGTAATGACCGTTAACCCATGATTCAAGAATGGAGCGCATACTGGAAGGACTAGTGGAGACCACACCTCTCACTCCTAGTCAACTTCAATGGGTAGAGCTTGGAAATATGTATATATTTATATTTAAATCACTGAGGTCCTCCCCCCTAGATTGTGTCTCGTGCAGAACTGACACTGAATAAGTGCTAACTGTATTTTTTTGCTGGGAATGACAACTTTTAAGACACTAGGTACACATTTTAAGTATTAACTACTTTTTCAAAGAGTCTAGCAGCTAAAAGGTTAATCTTAAACTTTCTAAATAACGTGACTCCTTTCTAGCTGTTTTCAGTGGCCGGGATATGCAAGAACATGTACCAAAGTGAGCTTCGTGAGGAATCAGCGGGCCGACTTCGTAAACAAAATCAATAAAGTGCTATAATATATATTTATCTTCAAATAGAATTTACTTGACTTTCCCCAACATGCTAGATCTAGATAGTAGCAGAATATAGATATTTAAATTGATCTCCCCATGATGACAGGTAACTAAACGATTAACAATGCAACAGTGAAAAGAGCTAAAAGCCTATTATAAAATACATCCACCAGTCCAATACAACCTACCAGCTCAAATGACAAATTATAACATTAAAAGCAATGCAATTCCTTTTCATTAAATCTTATCTTGAGAGAACTTTACTTACTTGTTTGCACCTAAAAAGTAACTACTTTGGTGTCCTTGCCCACATTCGAGTTGTAGATCCTAACAGAACAAAACAAAATAGCTATGTAAAAATGGTAGTTTATCGCATTATGGCATTATTATTTTAAAAGGAGAAGTCTTAGACTTCAAATAAATCTGTATTGCTATAAGTTCATAAAAAAGAAGGCACGAAAAGACTTAGCCATTATTTGTTTAGAAGATTATAATCCTGATTTACTTCATATTTCAGTATTTTTCTTTAAATTTGTTCATATAATATATTCAGGTTTCATTGCTGGCTGGTGCGATTGTGACAAACTTCTTTTTTAAAAGAAAAATTCAAATAAGATAACATATTCAGAAGTTAAAATGAAGCAAAAATGATCAGAGAATAACTAGCACGATCTTGGCTTGAGCTGGAACTGGATCTGAAGTAGGTATGTGCATATACATTGATTTGAATCTCCTGTTGCTTCATGAACGTATTTTTAAAAAACTTTTTATTGTGAATTAGGTGGTGGTTTAATAGGTAACCATTTTAAAAGATGTGAAATAAACTGCTATTTTAAGTAAATTATGTACGTGAACACGTAACCAGATTCTGGGTTATATTGAAGAGCTTTAAAGGTTTTTTTTTTAAGTGCCTAGTTAGCAAAACATCAAACGAACATTTTTATTAAGGCAACTACTCAACTATTTAATCAATTCCACTGAACGCTGCGAGAGTTTTAAGGATTAAAGTTTAAGGAGATGAATGTGCTTCCCAACAATCAGGTACAACATATGTGCACATGTACAACATAAAGTGGTCTTTTCTCTTTCTAAAGACACTTCGTTTCAAACCCTGTTTTAACCATACAGGAATCCAGGAGAATAATTGACATTTTTAATTAATTTGTTTTCATTAAAATGCACTATACTTAAAACTCTTTGATTTTTCTTATAAGAGAGTGTCAGATGCATGGGCAGGATACAGTGCACTGGGAACGTGTGGAAATCTTCTAAGACTGCACCAGGCAGACAGACAGCGTCGGCCATGTCTCCACAGCACTTAGCACACAGGTCCGTCCAGAACCTACAGCGCACTCTGACGACGACTTAAGAGTCTATGAAAGTAGTAGGCAGGGCGGAACAACAGACTTCAGTACAAACACACAATGGAATATTACACGGTAGAGAATGTTGAGAAACCCTTATGATCGGGATGGATTCGGAGGAACTCAGGTTGAGTGACATGAGCCCATCACAAATGGGCAAAAATATTGTATGAGACCACCGCTATTAAAAAATGAATCAAGCAAAGTTTTTCACACCCAAAGAAACACACTTTGATGGTTAGCACAGTTGGGAGGAAAAGAGAAGCAATAGGCTAGAAGGTAGACAGGTATTACATTGGGGGAAGGGGAATATCCTAAAAGAGGGGAAAGGGCAAAAAAAAAAAATAGGAAAAGAAAAGAGGAGGGCTGTGACAGAGCAAAGTATTGAGAAGTTTGAATGGTACTTAAGTCGTTGAAGAAAAAAATGATGATCTAATAGGTAAACTCCCACCAGTTCACAATAGAAAGTTTAAAAAAAGCAGTAATACAGTGGGAGGCGGGGTTGTACTAGGCTGGTTTTAAGTTCCTCAAAGACAGAGAAATCATCAAATCCACGCAACATTCCCAGGCCCGACGGCTCGCACAGTACCACGCACACCTTAACCAGCCTGAGTGCTTGTTGAATCCCATGTGTTTTCCTATTAAAAGGCATTTAACACTATAGCCTTGTTAAGATTCAAAATATAATTCTAGGTCACAAAATTATCATGGCCAGGAGTATGAAAATTCTACACAATACATAACATTGTGGTGAAAAACATTTTAAAATGTAAGTACTCTAAGACCAATAAACAAACAAACAAATACATAAATATTCTGATTTAGACAAGGCTCAAAATTTGACTTCTTCAATATTTGTGTTCTGTTTTACATAATGATAAATGTTTCTTACCTATGGCAGAAATGATTGTAACAAACAAAAACTAGTTGACTCACATTGGCCTCAATGTAATTTTAACAAAGGAACACCTGCTCTTTAATTGATAATGGCATAGTTTTAATAGGATAAAATCTCTGTTTCATCAGGGTTTTGTATTTTACCAGGACTGCCACCCAAAGCTTAGCCTGAGCAACTGAAGTGATCATAGCTTGATATAAAAATCCATTACCATCAAGTAGATTCCAATTCATAGTAACTCTTTAGGACACAGAAGAACTGTCCTATAGAATTCCTGGGCTGTCACTGTTATGGAAAAAAGTCCTGCCGGCACAGGGGTTAATTGTTTGGCTGCTGACCCAACGGTTGGTGGTTCAAACCCCATGGGGGAAAGATATGGCAGCTCACTATTGTAAAGATCTACAGTCTGGGAAACCCTATGTAATAGGTTCTACTCTGTCCTACAGGTCACGATGAGTCTGAATCCACTCAACGGCAATAGGTTTTTGATTTGTTTTTAATCTTACGGAAGTAGGCTGCCACATCTTTCTCCCAGGAGCAGTGGCTGCAATTTCTAACCAATGGCCTTCTGGTTAGCAGCCAAGTACCTAGCCATTATATCACCAGGCTGCATTGGCTTGATATAAAAACCAAACCCACTGCATTGAGTCAATACTGATTCATAGTGATCCCTGGTGCGTTTCCCAGACTATAACTGTCTTACTCCCTCGGAGCTGCTGGTGGTTTTGGATCGCAGCCCCACTCAGAACCTCTCGCAGCCAACTCGGAACCTCTACATCACCAGGCTGTCCTGACTTGATACAAGAACCTTTCAATGCTGATACTTAGAAAAGAGAAGTAGGGCTACATTTCTAAATCCAACTTTGTTTTTTCTGCCATAGGTAACTGGGATTTCTAGCAGGTTAGCTATTTCTCTAGTCAATATAATCTTACACCCTAAATCAAAGGACAGCTTCCAAGAGCACTCTGCAGAGTGGCCCCGGCTTCTGTTACACCTATAAACAGAGTGTCACCTTAACAACTACTCTTGAAACACCTGTCAATTAACTGCCTGATAATGTAATGATCAAAAAACCCAAAAAACACTGAGATCAGTAATGTACTTAGGTAGAGAACTGTCTAAGTGAACTAAAAGAATATTCTAATTAAAATTTGAGCCTAGGTTTATATACAAAATAACAACTGAGGCAGGGGAGAAGTTATAACTTCAAATCTGATGATTAAACACTCCCTGCTTACATGGAACATTAAAATGGAAAGGACCACATTCTTCATTAACAACGCCCTGCCACTGTATCAGACATGGAACAAAACCAAAAGCAGCGTGACAGACACATGTTTAAGAATTATCCTTAAAGAATGATATCTCTTACAAGCTGTCGAACCTTATTTAACTCAATAATTTTTTCTCCCCTTACCAATCACCTATTATATGGCTGGAATTCAGGCAGCAAATCAGATAAAGAAAGTGTGATGAACAAATATAAAAAGAAAGCAACATGAAACCAGTACAATGTTAGTAGTTATTGATAAAGCTTTGAGGCAATCCAAGAACGTGATCTAAAAGGCTTTCAAAAGCAACGTGGAAAATATTCAGAATTAAAACTAAACAAACATTAGATAACTGTAGCATATGGGCAATCTTTACAAACTAAGAATACATTTAAGCAAGGATAGGAAAAAATTAACAGCATGAACATACATCGACTTATTAATGAACACCAGCACCCAACGGCACAGTAAAATCAAATCGGTCAGAACACGGACTAAGAACATGCAATGGGCCGGCATAAGCTCAACCTGACGACAGACACAAAGCTTGAAGATGGTCCTCGCAGCCCAAATAAAGTGTGGGGACAGAGCGGCTCAACTTCGGGGACTCATTGTTGTGGGTGGGGAGATTTCTAAATGTAGAACTGAAACCTTGAAGAAAGCATGGTGTGAAAAAGAGCTGAAAACAAACAAAACAGGTGCAGTCGCACACAGAAAAAGGAAAATTTATAGTTGAGAAAACTCCCGTGGCAGCTTTAACTCTCACCAGTTTATTATAAAATCGATGGCTGCGAGGAAAACAGCTGGAACCACGGCTAGACCTGAAACAGTTGCTAAGACAGTGCTTAAAGATGCTGAACGATATGTCTAAATTGGGAAAAAGATTAGCTGAGAGCATCTTTTTTCCTCATCAAAAAAAGGGGCAGTTCATGGCATGAATGTAGTTGTTAGCAAGGTGAACTCTCCCAGGGAAGAGCCCTCTGAATGTGGTGGCTGATTCACAGAAGTAACCAAGGGGTGAAGCCAGGAAAGAGCAAAGACTTTACATCTCTCAGAAAGTCAGAGCAGCAGGGAGAGGGGGTCATTAAATGACGAGACAGGATGGTGCCAAAGGAGCCTAAAACTGACTAAGAGGACATCTCTGCTTCCCTGCTGGAAACGGACCAGGAGTTCTCTATCCCTGTGCGATTCTGAAGTGGGATTTCCCTTGAAATTCTTTTTCACAATTAAATAAAGGGACCACGGCACACAAGCTATATAGCACTCCTTCTAAATAAACAAAGTTGGCATCTATTTGCTTTTTTCTGGAATAAGTTTGTGACATTATTCAATTCTGACCCAATTTACAGGAATTTTAAAGTACTCTTCAATAGCTACTGATAATATTAATCATATATATATTTCTGATCTATATTACTGTTTTAACTATAACTTAAATATTTTATCCTTAGTTTGTCAGGGGTTTGAGAAGTTTCTTTAGAGCAATGATTGTTTTACTACTTCTTTGTATTCCTTCATCATAATTAACAGTTAACGTAATTTATATATACGTATATATAAATCTGTATAAACTATACAGATTTTTCTCAACTATACGTAATTAACAGTTACGTAATTAACAGCTCTCAAAATATCTTTCACTGCTGTATGGCAAATGAAAAAACAGCACCAACTCAGACAAATGTATAACACCCATAAACTTCTAATCTAAAGATAGAAGAAATCTACCTTTGAGAAGAAATCAATTTTAAGGTTATGAGAGGAATGGTTACACTTTATATCAATTTGTTTGGTTTTTCAACTCTGCAAATTGTCCTTTTTCAAAATTAAGAGGTCTTTCTTAATGGCTTCCAATCCTCCAAACCAAGCTGTTGGTCTGGCTTCATATATTATGACTACCTCACCTTTTAGTGATTAAAAAAAAAATTTATTGGAGTAACAAAAATAGAAGTCTGAGTGTACATGAATTTTTTCATTACAAAATGCATACATGTAACACTTAAAACAATGACATGTAACATGTAAGTGGCGAGATCCTTTAAAGGAGTAAATAGTTGCTCTGCTTCTCAAAGGATTTCGGGATCTGACCTTCGTGTCACTGAACTGAAGGATAGAGCGAGACATGCCGGGAGGAAGGCGGGGCCTGTCTACCCCGAGTCTCAGTCTCGGAACCCACGGGGGTCAACTATGCGCCAGCATTGATTCGATGGCAGTGAAAAGAATGGTAAATGAGTTAATACAGGTAAAGGGGTTGAATAATGTCTTCCACATAAAAAGCTATTGATATAATCATCAGGAATAGGAGTTTGAGGTTATTTTATGGTAATCTGACAAAGACCTTACTCATCCTTCTTCTACCAGAAATATCCCCATCTTTTCTTTGTGGCCTCACAGGCCACTGCGCTCCTCCAAGCCTTCCTCTGTCACAAGACCAGTCATCTGAGCTTACAACCAAGTCCTTTTCCCTGTGGGCGCGGGGACAGGTGGTGGCCGAAAAGGGTGCGTTCAAGGGAAAGTGGCAGCAGAGCTCATTCGAACGACGAGGCTGGTTCCACACAAAGGCACCGGAAGGAATGCTTCTAATTCTGAGGCATCATCTTTCTGTGTTTTGTTCTGGTCTGCACAATATTAATTAAAAAAAATCACTAGCTTCCATCTTTTACTTTGTGGTCTATTCCAGTAGCAGATTTCACTGTCATTCCTGCCTGTTGTCCTGTGCCATTAACTTGGTTCTGGATCATAGCAACCTGTGTGGCAAGAGTGAACTGCCTCATGGGCCTAGGGGTGATCCTCACAGCAACTGACGGTTTGTTCCCCAGGGAGCTCCTGGCTTTGTTCTGGCTGATAGAGTGTTTATCCATCTCTCTTTCCAGAGATGCAGTCACTTTGATTCCCATGCATTCTATTCACCAAGTAAGCAAAAGGGCATTAAAGCTACTAAAGAAAGAACAGACTAAAATGGTTGCCAGAAGAGACTCTGAAACTTGCTCTTGAATGAAGAGCAGCTCAAGTGAATGGAAGAATGATGAAATAAAAGAGTTGAACAGAAAATGGCAAAAAACAGGTAAAAAAGAGAGTTTTACAAGAATGATGAAGTGGCAAGGACATGGAGTTAGAACACCAAAACGGAACACTGGAAGCATTTCTCAAACTGAAAGAACTGAAGAAAAGTCAAGTCTTGACTTGTAAAACTGAATGATGCGGGAAGCATCAAAAGGTAAGGAAAGAATACACAGAGTCACTGTCAAGCAAGCATTTCAGGAAGCAGTATGAGATCAAGAACCAATGAAGGAAGAGTCCAAGGTACAATGAGGCATTGGGGAAAATAAGGCTCAAGGAATTAACAGAATACCAGTTAAGGTATTTCAACAAATGAATGTGACAATGGAAATCATCTATGCCAAGAAATTTGGAAGACTGCTACCTCGTCAACTAACTCAGAAACCCTTTTTTGTCCATTACAAAGAGGTGATCCAATAGAGATGGAAATTATTGAACAATATCAATATCGCAGGCAAGTAAAATTACTGAAGACAATTCAAACACAGCTGAAGCAATATATGGAAAGTGAAGGTGAATTCTCCTGAGGGGTAGATCCTTACTGATATCTGATGGTCCTTGGTATAAGGAGAGAATACCAGAAAGATGCTTACTTGTGCTTTGTTGATTAACAAAGACATTTGACTGTGTGAATCACAACAAACTGAGGATTACAAGTCAACGTAAAGAAAACCAAAATCTTCACAGTGGACCACAGGTGACATCACGATACGGGAAGCAAAGGCTGAAGCCGCCAAGGATCTCATCTTGCTTCGCTCCATAACCAGTATTCACAGAAGCGGCAGCCAGGAGTTCGAATGATGCATTGCACTGGGCCAACTTGAGATTGGGCTACATTCCTTTCAGCCCTTGCTGATGCACATTAGGCCTTCACTATGGGTTACATACAACTCAATGTAAAGGAAACTCAAATCTTCACAACTGGACCAATCGGTAACATAATGATTAAGAAAAGACTGAAGTAGACTAGGATCTTATCTTGCTTGGACCCATAATCAATATCCACTGAAGAGCAGCACTCTTGGGAGTGTTTGAAGAGCAAGGATGTTACTGTGGGGTCTAAGGTTTACCTGACCCCGGGCATGGCATTTTCAATGGTCTCCACAAATAAGGAAGACTGAAGAAGAACGGATGCGCTTGAATTACGGTTCTGATGAAGACCACGGAAAGTACCACGGACTACCAAAAGAACCGATCAATCAATCTCGGAAGAAGGACGACCAGAATGCTCCTTAGAAGCTAGTAAGGCTTCCTCTCACGTATTTTGGGTGTGTTAACAGCGAGAGACCAGTCCATGGAGACACACATCATGCTCGGTGAAGTCGAGGAACGTCTTCCACAAGGTGGACTGACCACACAGCGGCTGCAACCATGGGCTTGAACCTGAGAACAACTGTGAGGATGCAGCAGGGCTGGGCAGTGCTTCCTTCCTTTGTATACAGGGTTACCATGAGTCAGGCTGACTTGACGGGACCTAGCAATATTCACCCAGGTGCATATGTGTGAGGAAGAAAATGGTACCGATGAAGATCAGAGACTGCATCCTTTAAAACTTTAAGAAGCAATGACATCACCAAGAGAACTAAAGTGTGCCTGACCCAATCCCAGCTCTTTCAATCACCTCTTTTACGTGTGGAAGCTGGCCAGTGAATACGGAAGACTGGAGAAGAATGGAAGCCTTTGAATGACGGTGTTGGTGAAAAATATTGACTTTCCCACGGATCCTCAGAAGGACAAGTAGATGGGTCTTGAGAGAAGCCCGGCCATAAGGTCCCTTAGACATGAGGATGCAAACTTTGGAGGGCTCTGTCCTAAGAGAAGGAGGTGAGGGTACAATAAGCGCATCCGTGCAAAAGTGGAGGGCCCACAATGAGATGGATTGCCACAGTGACAGCGACGGTAGTTGAAGCATGCCAACAATTGTGAGGCTGTTACGGTACTGGTGAGCATCTTGATTGGCTATACGTAAGGGTGTTATGAGTCAGGAATGACCTCCCGGCATCTAGCAACATTGATGATCCTGTTAGGAGCACCCCGCCAGTTCTTTTCTCCTGAGGAGCCCCCGGTGGGTTGGAATTTCAGACATATCTGTTAACAGAGGAATGCTTAAAAGCATTGTGTCATCTAATTCTAAACATTTAAAAACTCCCAAACCACCATTTTCTGAAAACATTCCCTCTCACTTGCCACTTCCAGCTAATTCTCACTCATATTTACTGGCCTCTCTGGGCCATTGGACACATCTCACTTTCTTTTGTTGACAGTGAACCTACTGGACTCTTCCTTTTAACGTTTCAACTGCTTCTCACCTCCAGTTTTGGTTCAGCCTCTGGTCACTAAGCACAAGCATCTCCCAATATGGTTGCTAATCTCTTTCCTGCCCTCTTTCTTCAAACCTAACGAGCGTGAGCACAGCAATGGCCGTTATCGGTCCTTTTTTCTTTGATGCCAATCCACTTCTCTTGTGCTAACTCCACTCTCCGGTATGCTGACGGCTTTCATCATTGCAGCTCTTTATCTGACATCTCTCAAAACTGGTGTGCCAAGGACTGCCCATGACTTTCTACAGAACTTGGGAGGCATTTCGCATTCTCTTCTTGAAGATTAGATAGTGGTCCCTGGACGGTAGTCTTAGCTCCTCCCAGAAAGTGTGTACGTCACATTATTCCAAAAGCTCATCTCCTTCTCTGACCTCCTGTACCCAGTACATGTAGCCTCTCAGACAGGAAACCCATGATATATTTCAGTCCATGTGTAAGTGTTTACATGTCTAAGTATTTTTACCCAGCAAGACTGCCTCTTCCCTAAACAAATAAATTATGTCTTAAATCTTTTATTTTCTGCAAATTTAACAGGGCATAGAATTGAAAGAGATGTTATAAAGGCAGAGAAGAAATAAGTATAAGAAAATTCCTTTGTAAAAGGCATAAACGTGGAATCTGGGAGTAAATATGTAGCAGTCAAAGGATCTGATCAGCTATAAAAGTAGAAAGTACTTTTTAGTTAATATTTGAGTTCATTTTTCATATTTAAGATAATCTTAATATTTTTTTTAATTCAGGGATGCTTTATAATCCAAATTCTGGACTGAGAAAAAGGAATATGATACAATGCTATAACATTCAAATCTCATTTCAGATGGATTTTATTGTTAGAGGGTAAACTATTTTTTAAAAATTATTTGTGTTGCCTAGTTTGTTAAAACAAACCACATTAAAACTGTATATTCTTCTTAAAGAGAAATATAATATAAAAACACTCCCATTTGAGTGAGAACCTGAAACAGGAATGTCTGTTAAAAACGATTTTATTGCTGCAGCACTATCACATGAGTAGTTTTAACTTGCTATAAAAAAGGCTACCATACTTAACCTATGGAACCTTGCAAAATGGCAGCAACTTAGAAAAACAGACTTAAAATAGTTCACTAAAACTGGACATGATCTTAAAAATACAAAACAAGTAAGATTAAAACAGTGCTGACAAAGAAAATCAGAAGATGAGAAATACCAGATTAGATCTTGCAGTGTAGTATATTTCTTCTGAACTGTCCAAAAAACCATCAGTGTTGGGCTGTTTAGCAGACAGAGACCAAGAAACCCACGTTATTACACTCAGACTAAAAGCCACATTCACAAAGGGAAACTCACAAGTGGTGTAAGACCTGCTAACAATTTTACAAAGCAAATATAAAGTCCAATCACATTAAACGACTTTTTACAAAGCAACATTGCAACACCAAGGTTCTGTACGAGGGTTACTAAATTAGTATCAAATTTAAACACATGCAATGTTACTTTAAAAAGAGAAATAAAATATATGCAAACTGCCTTGAAAAATCTAACCATTTACGAACCTCGTGCCTATCCTTTCTTCTCAACTTTTTCCATCTCTCTACACAAATGGCAAGTTTAAGTATTCTAGTATGATCATTCTAAGAATTTTCCTTTAACCTTCAACCCCTTCAGACTGGGACACTGAATTGAAATAAATGTACAAAAATAGAAGCTACAAAGTTCCTTTTTATAGCTTTCTTATAAACCAGTCAAATGGGTTAAAACAAACATTACAGTTAAGAAAAAGTTCCTACTTAAATCCTTAGTATTTATCAATTAATACACATAATTTGGAGTTCTGGCAGAGAAATTTCATTTTGTCTATGTCTTTTTATAGTCTCATTTACAAATTCTTCCATGAAATATATTAACATCTCAAATATTGGAAAAGTATTTTGCTTCTAAGACTGCATGTAACATAACATATCTGGAGAAGAGAATATGAAGCAATTACAAGAGAGCTATGACAATAATGTTCATCCAGGGAGCAAGCCTGAAAGGAATTATGAACTTGAATGTCTCGTCTCGCCTGAATTTTAATACTCCAGGCAGATTTTATTCTACTCTGAGCTTTAGAAAACTGGCTTGCATTTGGAAAAGACTGCCTATAAATTTACTAAGAGGTACTTTTACTACCATATCCTTCTAGCCTAAAACCTTAGCTTTTACCCTGGTAAAAATATACACAAGCCCCATGAAACTGGGGGGGAAAAAGACAAAAGAAAATGGATGGTCAGCATTAAAAAATATATAATCAGAAAGTGGCAAAACGATTAAGTTTCATCTGAAATAATTTTTAAAATATTGTATTTCAGCAACACAGATTTATTTATTCTCAATTTTAGAATTACTTACCTTTTTGCTTCTACCATATACTTTATTCTACCATATAATATTAACTAGGATTTTCAGTCAATAGCAGTACGTCACAAAGACAAATGAAATCATTTATTTTTCGTGTCAGCATTCTAAGCCTAATGTACTTACAAGTTCATGATGTGGCTCTGTCTCTTTCCGTAAGGGCGCATCAAATTTTACTTGACCAACTATTTAAAAAAAAAGAAAAGGAAAGAAAAATCAAGATCTGCTTTTATGAAACATTAAAATGTTAATTCATGGCAAACTACATTTAATCTTAGCCTCTCTCCTACACCTGAAGAGGAGGTTCCCTGCTCCTGTAAAGAGTTACAATCTGGGAGACACGGAGGGACCATTCCTCTCTGTCCGACAGGGTCACATCGACAGGGTCACATCGAGTCAGAAGCAACTTGACGGCAGGAAGCCACCGTACACGTGATCACGACAGATGATTGAAATCAAAATTCTGCCAGAAAAAGCCTACGAAAGTTTAGTCTGGGAAACAATCAGTTCAGCCTTGATCTTTTCCATAGTTAAAAAAAAGAACAGATCGTATATACTTCAGTATAAGCTGACCCAAGTATCAGCCTAATTTTGCTACAAAAACGGCATAAAAAATGTGCTGAAAATTTTAGCTCATACTTGAGTATATATGGTCATTAGCTATCAGCAGGATCTAATGGGCCACGTCACCATAGCAGCATAAACTCAGGATCATCTAACGTGGGCATCGCTGGGCACACGGCCGCTGACGAGGAGAACTTCCGGAAGGCAGCCTACACCAGAGTCCCCGGTAATTCCCCTCCTGGGAGTCACAGCCTGTGCGGGTCCCCCTCCCACACCACACCAATGTCAGACTGTGTGAACAAAAGACCACAGGAGTGATGGTCGGTGACTGGTATGAAATTACTTCTGCCTTGAACACCCCCCCCCACACACACACCCTCTCAGCTTGATCACTTGCTTTGAAAGAAGCCACGTAGCAAGGCAGTGAAGCTTTTAGTAACCTGTCCCTGGGTTTAGAACAGCAGTTCTCAACCTGTGGGTCGCGACCCCTTTGGGGGTGGGGTGGGGTTGAACGACTTCCTTTCCCAGGGGTCACCTGATTCATAACAGCAGCAAAATGACAGTTATGAAGTAGCAACAAAAATGTTATGGTTGGGGGGGGGGGGTCACCACAACATGAGGAACTGTATTAAAGGGTCACGGCATGAGGAAGGTTGAGAACCACTGACTTAGAAGCAAATTCTCTGGTCTAGACAAGTCTTCAGCTGACCACAGCCCCAGTTGACATCTTGCCTGTAACCTTGAGTGACCCTGAGCAAAAGCCACCCAGCTACGCTGTTCTGGGCTGTTGACCCTTAGAACTTATGTGAGACAATAACTTTGGGGTAATGTGTTACACTGCCATTAATCGACAAAACACCACCCAGAACTTGGTAGTCCAGAATTACCTGAGGTGCGACTTAAAAGTAGCTCCCCTGGTCCACTCAAGACTTGGAGAAGTGGGGCCTGAGCATCTCATTTTAAAAGTGAGGTTTCTCAGAAGACGGGCCATTTACAGACCCACCTCTCCTGGCTATTCAAAATGTGGCCCTTGGGCCACCAGCATTCACAAGACCTGGGAGTTTGTTAGAAATAAACAACTGCGTGTCCCACCGCAGATCTGCTGATTCAGAAACTGCGCTTTTAGCAATCTCTCTCCAACACAGGTACATGAAAGTTGAAGACGCATTATTCTGTATTATCTGTATTCTGCCTCTGCTAGGACCTTGTTACCCTGCCACTCCAACCTGAACATAAAGAAGCCCTACCAAGGGAAACATTCCATAGTAAAGAAATAAAACTCGGATTGCCTTAATTAAAGTTTACTCTTAAAAGTGTCTAGTAAGAAAAAGTATTTGGAAGAAAATAAAACAAAAGTAATTACCACTAAATAACAACTTGAAATCTTTTCCACCGTTACATTATAAGCCGTGTGTAGTACATACTCACAGTTGATCTCTGAGCGCGTCTTCTCTTCTCTCACGTTCCGACTGGTTGAGTGAATTCTGTGTGGGACGGCAGCAAGCGGCTAGGAAAGAACAAAGCGACCACATGTGGCAGGTAATAATCACGTCAGTTTGGGCCAGAGAGTTGCATACATGGAAAAGATACACTTTAAAAGGAAAACGGGAAAACAAAACAACGGAAGTTTTAGGGGAAAGAAAAAGAAATTTTAAAGCCATAGTAGTTCAAACAACGAGGGCAAAATGAAAACAATCTCTCTTATCTAAAGAGGCCATTTGTACTAGAGAGCACTTAACATGACTCGATGAAACACGTGTGAAAATCAGTACAAGAAAGGACAGCGTGTGGTTACGTGTGGGGGCTACATTACTTGTCTAGCCCCATTTCCCAAGGGAGAGCTGAGTGTACGAAACATGGGTCCCCTCTGACAGGAAGAAACGCTAGAGCAGTGGTGCTCAGCCTTCCTCCTGCTGTGACCCTTTACTACAGGTCCTCAGGGGGTGGTGACCCCCAACCTAAACATTATTTTCAATACTACTTCATCACTGTCATTTTACGACTGTGATGAATCAGGGGACCCCTGTGCCCTGTGAAAGGGTTGTTTGGCCCCCAAAGGGGTCAGACCCACAGGTTGCGAGCCGCTGCTCTAGAGGAAGAGAAAAAACAGCAGTGGAAAGTGTCTATATTTA